TCTTTTCTTCTTTTTCTCGGTATACTGACTGAAAAGCCATTTTTCTGTTTTGTTATTGTAGACCATTCATAGGTCAAAAGATACCTTTCATTGGTCTAATTCAACTACCCTACATTCATTAATAAAGAAAGTATGTTTTCAACACAATGCTCGTGATTAGTTTTTTCAGGTTTACCTAAGAAAGTAAAAATATAACAAGATTGAGTATTAGAAAATGTTCATACTGGTATAAAGTAGAAAAAATATTTACCTCAGTTTTGATGAAAGTGATGGATATGTAATAACACTTCGGTGAGTAATCGCTAACTATTGACGTTTTGACTTTAACACGCAAGGCTCCCTTACAAGTGTCATACATTGCCATATTTACTAGAGCGAGCGCTGTCGGATCTCCTCCTTAAAGGTGCCAGGCCTTAGGTATAGGCCACACCTATGATTTTCTATTTGAAAACGCATACCTTTTAGGGCACGTCCACCTATTTTTTTAACACTAAAACAACCAAAACTTCTGTTAGAAATGGAGATTTTGGTCCAAAAGAGGAGCCTAAAGAAAAAGTTCTCTCTTTTGGGACGACAATAAACGGAGGCTTTTGAAGAAAGATTGCTGTTACGTATTTGTATAGACAATAGACATTAAAAGCAAAAAAAAAAAACCCAAACACCTAAAATGAGAGGACAACGAATTCATGTGGACAAAATGAAAATTTAAAAAAAACCGGTTCATGTGAAACAGATATGTAAAGAGGCTTTGCTTAAGGTCCCTATTTTACCGAGGACGGCTAAGAAATACACAAGGTCTTCAAACGCAGGTGCTGAGTTATTTTTCTGCTCATTAAATCTTTTGTTTGCCTCGTCCTCATTGCCGTCACCGTCGTGGTTTACGAAAGGTCCCCATTTACAGTTGTCATCTGGTATGGGATGAAGAAGATTGAAATGAACCGCAATATTTGGTATTCTGCTATTACTCGGGCTTTCCAAAGGAAACGCCCGAGTTGAAACTCCGTCTTGGTTTTTTTTTTCTTTTTCTTTTTTTCAGAAATATGACGAAACAAGATAAGATGGTGCTAATTCGTTAAACTAATAAACCTAACGGAGCCATTGAATATCACATTTGTTACCTCGATGAACGTGCTGGATTTCTGTGCGTATTACATGAAATATAATGACTATTGATTGATGTGTACCATCTGATACGATATTGCGACGTCCTACTGAGTTATACCTTTCAGTATACAGTATTGTTGACCCAAAAAATATAAGGTTTATTATCCACATTGAATATCACATTATGGCTTCAGGGAACGTGGCAGATTTCCGAGCGGGTTACTCGAAATATAATGATTATTAATGATATACACCTTCTGATGTGATACTGCTACAGAGGTATACCATGCAATATCGCTGAGAATTAGGAATATTAGGCATGCTATCACAATATTCTAATTCCGTCCTTATCAAGCAGTTTTCAATGCAGATAACACCACCACGAATTCCTCGCGAATTGCAGTGATACTTAGGACAATGAATATACAGTGCCCCGTAGAGTGGTCCTGTATTGAGCGGTTATGGTCATCCCTTGATTTATTATCTTTCCCTTACATCGAACCGTTATTTAAAGCGAAACCACTCAATTAAACAAAGACTTACCTTCCAAGTAAATTTTAATCTTTAGAAACAATGTTAGTAAGGAAGTAATGTTACGCCAATGAAGACTTTGATCAAAAAATTCATTTCTGCCTTTAATTAGAATTTCGAAAATGGCTGCATTTTTTTACCGTCTCATACGGCGCCACACTTCAACTTCAGCATAACGTGTAAAAGAAGCTTCGAGTTTCAAATGGAAATTAAAATAATTTGCTGTAGCGGTTTCGGTTTGCAGACGAAGCAAATTTTGGTGATTTCATGTTGTTGTTTTGCATAGGACAGCTAAGAAATGTACAAAGTTTTTAAAAGCACGTGCTGAGCTATTGCTCTGCCGATTAGATCTTTTGTTTTTCCATGTCCTCGTTGCTGTCGCCGTCGTGGTTTGCTTAAGGTCCCTATTTTACCGAGGACGGCTAAGAAATACACACGGTCTTCAAACGCAGGTACTGAGTTATTGTTCTGCTCATTAAATCTTTTGTTTGCCTCGTCCTCATTGCCGTCGCCATCGTGGTTTACGAAAGGTCCCTATTTACAGTTGTAGCGAGCTGCTGTAGCGAGGTAAATAATTGATTTATTATAAACTAAAATAGTGAAATAATATACGCGCTTAAGTATGATTTTGACTCATTTAATCTTAAAACAACTATTACATTTTCGGGCGAAAATCCTGCGCGCATTGCTCGGAGGTAAACACCAAAGCATATTCGGAATTTGTGTAGCCAATCAGACCGCGCCTTAGACGTAATCCGCTGTTTCAGTATATACCATTTATCGTTAAAAAGTTGAGCTCCAGCTTCCCACTGTTACCCTTTGGTTTCAAAAGCTGGCTTTGGTTTTCAATACATAACGTTTCTTTAATTTTTACGGCGATAATCGGTTTTGCCCAACGTCAAAATGTCAGCGTACCATATCCGGTGGTTTCGACATGTTAATTGATAGCTGATGATTGGTCAAATGCAATCATCATACTTTGGATAGTGGAAAAAATCATATGAATTGCTTTCAAAAGTATTGGCGATTTGAGGCTGTTTTCACTTCCGTTAAAAACACACGCACGTACAAAACATAAAAACAAATCATCTGTTTCCATCAATGTGAACTTTTATTGGCCAAAGACAGAGTTTCTGGCTCCGGTTGTTCGAAGGGTGATTAACGCTATCCACTGGATAAATCTGTCTCCGGTGGATAACACTGTACGTTTTGTTAACACTTAAGCGCTTAATAACGATTTATCCATTGGATAGCATTATCTGCCCTTTGAACAAAGGGGTCCTGGTATTTTATCAAAGATTATCATTAACATAAAAGGTTGGTCAAGGGTCCAGTAATCCCTTCATGGCGTACATTGTATCCAAAATAGCTTTCTGCCGTCCGGAAACTTTCTTGTCCATTCGATTTTCTACAGGAATTTCCGGAAATTTTTTCTATCGAATGGAAGCATTTCGCAATTGATGACACTAAGGGAGATATGTTTTTCGAAGGTAAAGGTGTCTCCGTTTCGTTATCAAATGGCCATGGAAAATCTTTAATATATCAAGTAGCGCCAGTGATCGATCGCCTCGCTTCACTGGAATAAACTGGTCACTATATTTATTGTGCCGCCCGTTAACGCTCTCTTAGAAGACCAGGTGCACTATCTTAATGGACTTGGGCTAAAAGGATTGTCTGCCTTCAACTTTCGGTCTCTTTGCAAACGGTGCGCATGCTGCGAAGCAGTTAAATTAAAGTTAGTTGTTTCTGGCAGCGATTCATTCACAAATGCAAGAAGAAACCGCGTGTACGTTGAAATCTAGCTTCGGAATCGAACATCGTCCTCTTCTTACTCAAAAATCGCTCATAATCTTTTCCTATATAGGTAAAGCAAAGTAAAAATTTGCACTCGGACGCTGATTTGCAAATTTACTCGAAAAAAATGGAAAATGAATCCACTTCAGTGTTGTTGTTTATCTCGATAACTTTCCACGTTAACACGTGAAAGGGCAGCGCTTGTCAGATAGATAGAAAGATTTATAGACAACTTTATTTCTACACGGTAAAATTCTTCAACACAATCTAGGAGTATAAAATATAAAAATTCTGCTTACTTACTAGTGATTAATACAGCATTAAAAGTTTAAAAACCCATTATATCATGAAAGCTGTTTTTCTAAGATACTGTGTCTCATTTAAAAGCTATAATGACGTAGTTTTTAATTCGCTTAAAGAAACTGTTGAGCCGAGTTCTTGCGAAAGTCTATTCCACAGCATGGCACCCCTAAAGGAAAAACTCCTCTTCAAATAGCTGGTTTCGGTGGTAGAATAGCCAATTTGTACGCAGGATTCTTCAGTCATTACGAAGTAATAACATTTCGAGATATAAATCGAGGTTGTAGATATTCAGGGGACATGTTGCATGTTAGTCGCCAAAATATTTTGATTTTGACAAAACTTTAACACAATCTGTGGTAGGAAACGAGTCGAAAGATTTGGGGCAGAACTGGTAAATACGCAGGCGAACTTGTTTTACGTTTTCTGACGAACCCGTGAAGAAGGTAGCTTTGGGGGGCATGTTTGCAATGGGGCGTATTTACCAAAAGCCAATGTTGGAATTTTTACTACAAAGAAACCAAAAAGATTGTTTGTTTCTGACAATGTACCAATTCATAACCTAAATTAAACTTTGACGCGCGATTTCGTCGCCTTAGCTGCTCAGAGGTGGATATCATCAGAGCACGTTAAAAAATCACTATCTACTTATGTGCTGTGTACTTATCTCTAAGAAAGTTTTTAAAAGTCCACCGGTCTAATTTTCATTTCAGTTGATGAAGGAGTGCTGCCTTCGGCACTGGTTCGATCTAACTCTGCCCAGTGAATCTTTGCAGAAGTGTTCCTTCCACAACGCGGATAAATACCATTGAGATTTGAAAAAACAGCACATTTAATACCGTTGCCATACCACCAGCCTCTGCCACCTCTTTGAGCACAATCAACAGGATCTCTATCCCAGGTACCAAAAACGAGATTCCTGTGGGGACCGAGGGAATCAGAGAAAACGGTGGCATCTGTTTCAAAACAGAACAAAAGAAATTCGCATAATTCTAGGATCCGTATAACGCCTTTTTCCCGCGAATAATTTGTTGTTTTCCGCATAAAAGGAAATAAAGGAAAAAATGAAGGTTAGTAAGAAGTGAGTTCCTTACGTGGCACAAAGACCTAACTCCAGATCGAATAAGAACCAATCAGACATTCAGGTTTACCTCAGGACTACTTTGCCAACTTATAATACCATTATTCGACCAAGTAGAGTAAAATATTGAGATTTAAATGAGAGTGAATTAATATATATAAATCGAATGATAAATGCCGAAAAAAAACACCGTTAACTTACTTGTAATATTGCCAATGTATAGCCGATACTTAGCTGTCTCGTTCCCAATCCCAAACCAGTCATACTCAGGGTGTACAGTTTTGCCAGTAGTTATCCCCAGATCTACCCGAAGCTTGTTCTTTGTCTTGTTTCGAGTCAGGCGGTTTATCTTGTCCAGTCCGAGCCAAAACTCACCGACCAAGTTACCGAAGCCATGTTTGTATTCGTTCCAGGTGCGGTTAAAATCAACGGAGCCATCCATTCTCTTCTGGATCACCGTCCATCCCCCGTTGGCTGTAGTTTGGTCACAATATACATTAAAGGCGCCTGAACCATCCGGGTCGATTGTGTAAACACCACTAATCCTTCGTCCAGATTTGTACAGCTCAGCACAGTTCCTAGCTGTTATAGATAAAATAAAGATGCTTGACGTTTTGGGCATGCTCTCAAAGAGGGGGTTGGTATGAATGTGCTTATATCATCTGACAAAGTATCTGTCTTGGAGAGAAGACTACAGACTTGGATTCTTCATATATCTTTTATCTTTTAAAAGCGCATCAAATCATAAGATGAGAATAAAAATTATTTTGAAAAAACTCGACAAATGACCAAAAAAATTATTCTGTTGTCAATGTTCAGCTACACAGCAGCTTGAACAGAGAGTTGTCAAAGATAAGAGCTCCAAGCATGTTGAAAATTTTGTCATCTAGATTCGCTAAAATGATTCCTCTGAAAATAAATGGAAATCGCCATGCATAAGACTACCTTTTTCGTGATACACTGTATAATGATAAAGATAAAATGGAATAACCAGTACAATTTAAAAAAAGAGTAAACGTACATCGCACCAATGTTCTGTTCTCTGTGAGAATTTTAACCTCAAATCGAAGTTGGGTCAGTTCCTTCATGATTTCTTCTAAGCAGACAGCAGTGTTCTTCTGGCAATCTATTGGGACTGCACTTGTTGATGGCATATATTGAGAATTCACAAAAAGTGCCAAAAGCAGTAGAGCTGAACCTGAAGAGAAGAAGTCATTGAGCGGTGAGAAGTCATTCCAGCTTAAATATTTTATGATCAGTGCTACGCACTTTAAAGAATGAATTGAACAACCGAGAGAACTTAACAATTAACGAGTGCTTTTGATTCGGAAATTGTATAAAGTAAAAAGACCAAAAGTTGTGCGTTTATAACAGTATAACTTGTTTTTCTTCGTAACACTCAAGATGTTCCTTTGAAGAGCCATATTTTGGAGGCCTTCTCCTCCACCAGTTTTCTATTTCGTCTTTTTATGAAGTAAACAAAAGCTGCTTTTTTCAGCCACAGGCTTCTCTATAATGTTTTCAAGAATAATCCGTGAGCAACTTACGAGTCATTATTTTTTAAAATAGAAAGGAAGTTCCAGATAAGAACACTTAAAAATATCACGCCACAATCACACCACCCACCTCAGCCACGCTCTGATCACGTGCAAAACCTAAACACTGATCATGCTTCACAAATGTATTCCGATCGGCATCTAAATTTATGCAGGGTCATGTGTTCAATATCAGCCAATGACAATCGTGTGTAAAGCAAGGGGAACTGCGAGAGTATAATAATTAACCATTATTCATCTAACACAAAGTGCCTATTTACCGTCTCACAGCCATCAAGCGCAAATGGAAAAACAACTTTATTTGATTCTCCGCTTCTCGGTATTGTTTTGTGAGCTCATTAAATTTGTTGTACTCAAATTTTTCAATTGCAAACGACCAGAAGTCAATTCTGCTTCCGATCTCTAAATATCCACAAAATGCAGTTATTTCGAATCCAAGAAACGTTCAAAGCCACAAGGAATAATACTTCCAAAAGAAACATTGCATTGTTTTTGTGTTCCAGCGGAAAGGTCCTCACATTATAACTGATCGCGTGTTTTGTTGGTAGAACCGAGCAAAGGAAGTGATCGAAGACAGCCTTCGTTTATAAGAACCTGAAGTCAACTTCAAGCTCTGAGTTTACGAAATACGAGTTACCAACTTACCGAGACGACTATTTGCTTCAGCATTTAAACTTCAATCCTATCCAGAAGCGGTCAGCATATTCACAAATAGTTTTGCTGTGTGGTAGCGAACGGAGGAACGGATCGAACGGATTTCATAAATGAACTTTTAATTGCAAATAAGAGTTCTGGGAGAGCGAAGGAATCTCGTGGAAAGCTTTGCCTGTCATCCCAAAATTTTGAAGGTTACCGGCATTTCTTTCTGTTGTGACTATACCTTTTTTTGAGAATACAAAACCCTAAGGTACGTGGAATGTCTTTTTATATCACTTATCTTTATGTTGCCACTAAATATGGGATCTGTGGTCATGAAGTCGCCGCATCTTTTTTCTTCAAAACCGAATCAACTTTCATGGGATGTGAAAGAGAAATGGGATGTTTGTCTTACTGAGTACTTATCGTTTTTTTCAGATTGGGAGGTTCCCGTTGCTTCTTGTGCGTTTTCTTTTCTTTAACATAACCTCTGAATCAAGCTTCCAATCGATTCCACGTGGAATGAATTTAATTCAGAGTCATTCCTACGAAGTACTGATACGGATAAAGTTAAAACGAAGAATCAAATCGTGAAATTTTCAGTCGGTAAGTTGGGATTCGGTGACGATAAATTTCACTTTTAACGTTACTTTGGCGATAAGTTTTCTTTCGGAGTGGTCAATTTTCACTCCGTTGGGCGATTAATTGTAAATTACCTGACTGAACGTTCAATGCGGGGAAACTTCAATGATTCGGAACACTTGCTTGGCCTAACTGAAGATCAGAAAATCCTTCGTCAATTTCCTTAAACCGGAGATCTGCAACAACTAGATTTTGTTCATTAATGAAAAAACGGAATTTCTCCTGTTTCCCTGCGCCCAGGGAAAGTACCATTCATGCACCTCACACACAAAAAAATATCAAGATATATGACCGCATTTATCAGTGTGGCAGTTTAACGTTTCTGTTTCATCTTTTAAGCCAGATCAACATTCAAGTTTGTTGAGAAAAGCCGTCGCCAAAATTTTGACCCAGATCAGCTTGAGGATCAGAATAAGTGCATTAATTCTTTGGAGAGACAAGAAAAGGCGGCAGAGAGCAATATTTAAAGAAAGGAGGAGAAGGTGCCTGAAGACTTTTTCTCTGGCGAAATTCCGTTAGAGAATCCTTACATCTTACTGTACTAGATAAACTTCATGCTTTGCCGTTCCCGTACGAAAAGCAACGCAGCGATTTCAGGACCATAATCATCAGCATGTTTTCAGAATCAACATGAACGCAAGTAAAGTTTGAAGGAACAAAGGACTGCTAGATGGAAAGGACATAAATCTTAGACCGGACGAAGTTCCACGAATCGAATATTCGCATGATACTTGTTACATAGGAAAGTCATTTTCAAAAACTGATTATAGTTTTCCATCTTGACATTGACTAGACATTGAGTAGCCATTCCAAAGGTAGAAACAGACTTAAAACTGAAAGGATCTTTTGGATAGAACGAATGTGCGATCGAGCTGGAAAAATAGAATTGTGCTGAGCTCGGAAAACGAAAATTATAGGACCGCATAGCCCACCACGACTGTTCCACAGTGTCAGACAATCTGACTATTCTTTATTCAAAGCCATCATCGAAAGACATTCCAAAACGTTTAGAGTTCGACCTCTGTTTTTTTTACGTTTGATAATACCGAGTGAACTTTTCGAAAGTTTTTCCTATTTGCAAGATTAAGAGTCGCATACCATGGGTTAGAAATTAGTTTTAAATGACATAGATGTGCAAACAATCTCATATTTCAAAAAGTAAGCATTGCATCTAATCACTAACGAAAGTCTCCTTGAGATGCCAATTCTTCATCAAAGAGCCAGATTTCACATACCTGTTCCTTGTTTAATACCTCTCATTGTAATTCTTTTGGTGTTGCATGCAGTATCACTCAGAAACGCTGCCAAAAAATGGATGATGACAAGGTTTTGTCAAAACTGATAGGACTCAACTCTCTACTGAGTTATAAGAAGCTTGACGGAGTTGCGTGCGCACATGTTCAATGCATCAATGCCTCTGCAAGTCGTGAGCGTCAAGTACCTCAGCTATCGTCAGAGACAACACTTATTATATTATTTTTTTTCTGGAATGATCGTCAAAAGTGACCCGTTAAATTAATTACCGTTTCGGCGAATTCTTAATAGGTCATGTTCAAAACGTTTCCAAACGCAGTTAAAATTGCACAAAAATATACCCTAGGATTTTCACGTAAAGTTTCCACTCTTAAACGTAAGCGAGGGAAACTTGAGTTTTTTTGGAAGGATCTTATACCTAACTGGATAACAACAATTTTTTAAGGCCGACCTTTCTTTGAGTACGTGCGAGTTCATGAGAATTAAACGTTAGCGGGGGTAACCGACGTTTTGTTTGAACAAAAATAACTCTTCGAGGAAATGAAAGACGAGATTCTAAAGTGGATTGCAACAACTTTTTAGGGGTGACCTTTTCGCGAAGACGTGCAAGACGTTCAACTTGCCAGTTTTACTTTTTACGAAGGCTTTGATTTCATCGACGAACGTGACTAACGTTGATTTGAACTTCCTTTTTGAGGGGGAAATAATTATACGATGACAAATTGTCAGATTCCTTCGTAGAATGAAATAAAATAATTTTGGAATAGCTATGAAACATATGTTGCAACCAATTTATTCAAATACTCTCGCTCGCAAGTTTCCACCGGATCAACCAAGAGGGACTCTAACCTTTCTGATTGCATTTCGTAAGGCAAGGATTAGTTCAACAAATATAAGGATAAGAATGAAATGTTCAGGGATAGTGTTAGGTCTGGATTTAGTGTCAATTTTGACAATTGAAACTGTTTGAGGCTTCCTGTAGTTCCCGGTAATACATGGTGCATTTCACTGCGTTCTGGAACTCAGACTTAAATCTACAGACTCTCAAAGGCCCATTTGACCAATAAGCCGCACTCCAATTGGTTCTTGAAAGAAACGTCCCTGTAAAGTTGTATTTTATGAAACTGATGGAAAAAGGCCTGAGTTCGTAGGGTGTTACGTGATGCATGACATTGTTTTCCTAACAAGGGGCAATCCGACCTAATTGTTCCTACTGCTGTCAGTTCTCTGAGATACTCGTTTCAAATAGATTAAAAGGTAATACTAATGTGCGCTTTGATTGGATATCAGTGTATTTAGACCAGCATTATGGTTGCTGTCCTCTTCAGACCTTATGGTTTACTAAAGATCTACCATCTGGGGCACTTTACGCCCGTTCTTGTAATAAAATGGCTGAAGATAATTCTCATATCTGACTGCATCAAACCACTCCCAAACAAGAAAATTCAAGTATTCTTTGATGTAAAAAAAATAGCCCGATTTTAAACGACTGAAAATTATTTCTTAATTAAGAACAGATCAATGTTGGCAGGAAAGACGATGTGTCACGTAAATATTGTCATGATACTTGTTAGGCAAGCCATTTTAAAAAACTGACTAAAATCGTTGATCTAACTTCCCAATGACTGGACATTGACTTGCCATTTCCAAGGCTGAAGCGAAAAAAAAGACAGGCTCTTCTTTCAAACTTTCAAATGAACCGATTGAACAGGCCGAGTGTGTAAATCAAATTGTACAGTCATCGACTACCCTGCACGTGAAAGTTCGACCGAGTACGGTAACTTGACTATATTTTCATTCTGAACCAGCATCGAAAGACACTCTGAAACGTTTGGAGTGCGACCTATTTTCCTTGTAACGCCATTGGTATTATAGACTGGGCTTTTTCAGAGTTCTTCCTGTTTGCAAGATTCCATAGATTGCATACAAACCCCTTTAGTTAGTGATTGGTTCAACTCTTACCCTGTTCAAGTTGAAATGCTGTTAGTAACATTGAATGACATGAATGTCTTACGAGAAGTTTTAAACTTGAAGTAAGGAAGGGATTCAAGCAACGTTTTTATCAAAGTTTCTAGCTGGATATCACATACCTATTCCTTGTTGAATTCTCTGGGTGATGTATGCACCACGATGGCAAAGGGTAATATTTGGTAACGACCGAAAAGAACATTAGCAACTGTAGTAAATGTTGTGGAGAGGTTTTCATAAAGGCTAATTGAGGACTCTACCTGCTGCTGAGATTTCAATCACCCGACTAAAGTGCACGTGCATCTGTTTTAAGCACCAAAATTGTAAGAGAGTAAAGTACCTATGTTATCGCCAGCACTAAAGGAATTGATTCTATTGGGAATTTTTAGCAAGAGCGTCCAATGAAAATCATATCTAGAATGAACCCAAACGCAGTTAAATTTTAATAGTTTTCATTTTTCGACATTCGCAACTGGAAACTAACTGAAAACTTTCACCACACTTCCGCAGCAGCGAAAGATGATATTCTTCACTGGATAACTACAAATTTTAAGGGTTGACCTTTGATTGAAGATGCACGAGTCCGTGAAAATTGGTGCTGAAATTGTGGTTAATATTCCACAAACTGGAATCTAAAATGTTTCATCACTGAGACGCAGTCTCAGCTAATCACGAAACTCTCGTTCTTGAATGGTTTAGATAGTCATTGCATATTAAAAATGATAAATACCATTTTTTCAGTTGCATAAAAAACTATTAACCCCGCTATGGAAACATATTCCTTCGATTAAGCGATATAACCGTCTCATCGAGTAAAGTTGACCATGATTGAAGAACTCCTGTTTGTTATCTTGCAGATAAGGATTAAAAATTCTTAAATACGAATGACAAGCACAAGCCGCGCTTTCACGGGATTTGTTTTTAAGTGGTTTAGGGAATGACAACCGGAAATCTTTTGAAAACAGTTCTTTCCATCGCCAACTCACTTAAAGGCAAGCGAGTCGGCAACATAACTGCAGAGATGCCAACCTCTGGAATTTATAATCTGATTTCTGCCAACCCTTACTTTCCAACCAGTCTGATTAAACCCACCACCCCTCATAAGATTTATGGCAGCAAGGGGTTTTTAATTTAAATTGCAAAAGTGCAATTTTCAATGATTTTAAGTCACCAAAGCAGATACATGTATTAGCTTAAGAGTGTCATTCAGCAGTTTCCGCTTATTAGAGAGAATTCGCTGAATGAGGCTGTCGAATCGGAAACTGTCCAGAGGATCTCAATGGGGTTGACCGTTGGCTGTAAAACGGCAAAAAAAGTTACCCGTTAGGCGTAAAAATTGACTAATCGTTACAGTTCATGGTATAAAAAAGTTAAAACGAGAAGCTTTACCAAACCACGATGACATCGTGTCATTCTGACATTGTTAAAATCTTAACAATGTTAAGTGTATTGTCTTGTGGCCGATGCGGTTACGACGGTATTCATACCGACGTCGAGAACAAAGACATCTAGCTCAGGAGTCCTACTCCGCCTTTTAGATGTTTCTACTTTTTGTGCGTGGAAAGATTTGACGGACTTAGACTACTTTTAGGATCGTTAGTTTCTTATTTCAGTGTATGAGTGATGACTGAAAGGAACAATTAGTTTATAAAGAGCTTGGGAGGTGAACCAAATCGTAAGATTTGAGACAAGAATCAAAATCGGAGAAGAATATCGTAACTACAAATTGTTTTATTTGCATACGTGCTCCCCTAAAATTACCCTACATAACTAGGTTTTATCTGGAGTCGTAAAAACACGACAAGAGATTTGTTTACACAATTCATTTTGACTCACCCAATTTTAAAATGTAATTGTCAGTTATTACGATTTACAATCTGTAAATTAAACAGAATGCCTTCACCAATCCGCTATTAAGCAGATGGCAAAAGCTCTCTGAGGATCTCGTATTTGGCTTTAAAAAAACCTTAACGAAACTTTACGCCTCGTCATTCGATTATAAATCAGATTTGATAAAGCAAGAGCGCATATCTTGTGACTATATATGCCATAAGTAATCATATTTTTATGGAGCAGGGAACGAAACGCATTGAGCTGCAGTGACAGTCCGACGGCCAAGCAGTCACACCATCAATCATTCGATCAATCGATCCATAGGTATGTTATCTACATCTAGCATCACATTTGTGGCCTCAATGAACGTGCATGATTTTTAACGCATATCATCGGAAACGAGAAGATAACTTATTTGAAAATGTACGCTTTCTGATATGAAACTTCTTCAAGGTACTAAGATATACTTGTCGTATGCATTATTGCTGACCCAAGAAATGTTATATTTATTATGCACACTATTCCAATTACTTTCTTATCGTGCATGCAGTCTTTAATGCAGATAAGATCACTTTTAGAAAAATGATGTTCCTCGACTATGCAAACTTCTTAAATAGACAAATGCTACAGAACAGAGAATGATAATAGTGTCAAATTGAAAATGACAACTTTTTAAAAGCGGTCCAATGTTTTCTCGTTTTCAAATGTCAGAAAGGGGAAAAGGGAAATGTCTCAAAAATTGCGACGATAACTCTGGCCCATTACCAAGATTTATTCAAGCTAAAAATCGTCCCACGATTGCACTGATACAGAGTACAATGACCATGTACCCATAGAAACAATTGTGGAGATAAAGAAAAAATGTTAACTCATTTGTAAACCTGATGGAGAATTTTACATCATATATACTTGACTTTTCCTGTGCTGGGCGACCTACATTTTTTTCAAAAAGTTATCTTAGCCGTTTTTAGGCGTGGAAAACGAGGGGCCTTACCGGTAAAAGTGATGTCAGTAGAACTAGGATACCACTAACTGTCAATGACAATTAAAATTTCGTTGTCTACTATATCCGGTGGTCTCAACATGTTAATTTATAGCTTTTGTTTAATCAAATACAGTCTTCAGGTTTCGGAGAGTAAAAATAACTGCTTGAGCCGCTATCTAAAGTTTGAAGTCATTCACATGGCGGTAATGTGGTATTTTATTGAAGTCCATAATTAACATAGAGAATGGTGCAGATTTCAACGGAATGTTCATGGTGTACATCCTACCCAAAGTTTATTTTCTGTCCTATGAGAAAGATACTCTCAGAGGTCGATTGGATTGTGGCCAAACACGTGAAAAAATGCACTAAAGGTATTTGAACCGTTTTGTTTTGATCCCAAAATGTTAATCCGGGAAAAAAATGTTTGCAGCAGAGACTGGGTGAAAGAAAAAAGGAAGAGCCGTTTGTTTTCTCGCCACACATTAAGGTGATAAGCCACTTGAATTCTTGGCAAAGATAATCAATAGATAAAATCTTCGTTGAGTTAGAAACTTCGTGAAACTGTGTAAAAATAGTTCTACACGTTGAATAACTTTTTGTCGTTATTATATAAATTGGTGGAGCCTTTGAATATCACGTTTGTAGCCTTAGTGCACGTGCTATACTTCTATAGTGATCTGATAAAGGATACCCAAGCTCGTACATTCCTTATCTTAAAAAAACAACAAAATGTTTATATTTGGTACCCTCAGAATGTTTGAAAGAACTTCTTATTACGGCTGTACAGCTATTTTGCTTGTACTGCGGCGTCAGATGCCCCATAAATTCAATATAAGAACCCTTGGTCGTTTCTGGGCTTACCGACGCCCGACACCCCCTAAAAGGAAAAGTAGCTTAATTTATATTTTTATCGTTAACTACATTTATCAAGCTTTCTTCTGATACATAGTTTCCTAGTGTTTAGTGAAACTGGCGTGTGTACGAATTTTTTCCCGAAGGACACCCACGTTTCGTTCTTAAGTCCCATGAAAGTTGATTCAGTAATTGAGAATAAAGATGCAATTTTGTAACTCTGAAAGGACTGCTGTTAAAGTCGCGCGTGCTTGTGTACCATGCAAGCTCTTTGAAGTGACAGCTTAGTGTTACCTATTCAGCCCGATTGTTTCAGCTGTAAACCTCGATTATATCGGACCGGAAATTTTCTACAAAAATGTTTGGCCATGCCTTTGGAGAGAAATACATATCGGCTCCTTATAATTCTTATTCTTGGTGGATTGCATGATGATGGACTGATTTTAATTATGTTGAAGGTTTGTCTCATAAATTTTCCGGCCTGCACAAGCTGTGTCTTCAAACATGGATACATCAATCTCGTCATGATGAGCGGTTTTTCTTTTGAGGAGAGTTTTCATTACATTTGCAAACATTGTTAATCTTGAGTTTATATTATCTTTTTTCAACGAAATTGAAGCATTGGTTCAAATGTCAGCATGCGTTCATAGATATATGTAGCACGCGAGAAGTTGGGAGAGCATAAAAGATTAGGGACCTTAAGCAGTCAGGACGGCAACGCCAATGAAGACTTCGATTAAAAAATGAATTTCTGCCTTTAATTGGAATTTCGAAAATGGCTGCATGTGTTTACCGCCTCATACGGCGCCACACCTCAACTTCAGCATAACGTATAAAAGAAACGTTGAGCTCCAAATTGAAATTAAAGTAATTTGCCATCGCGGTTTCGGTTCGCAGACTACGCAAATTGTTGTGATTTCACGTTGTTGCTTTGCATAGGACGGCTAAGAAATGTGCAAAGTCTTAAAACGCACGGCCAATTAGATCTTTTGTTTTTCCATATCCTCGTCTCCCTCGCCGTCGTGGTTTGCTTAAGGTCCCTAATAGCAAGAGCTACTTTTGATACCCGATGAATTCGATGGAATGACATTTGGTCGTGGTTCTATTTACCGACTTCCTTCGCCTTGAAAGAAGAAAGATCAAAATATCAAAATAGCTTTGCAATCTTATCAAAATCTGCATTTAATAAACTTTTACTGATATCCAGTTTTTGGCGGTTTCCTAAAATCCGTAACCGAAAGCAACTTTAGCTTCTTGAGTTCCCTCCAACCTTTCCCACGTCGTGTGCTTCATATGTCGATGAATGAATACCCAACGTAAGAACTAATTGTGTTATAACATTGTCATCGCAGTTGTTTTGATGTTCCTTTCTCAAAGTTTAAAACTTCAGAGAAAGACAGCGCACAATGCATCCCAGATAAATCGTCTTCAAGATATATTCATCTAGGAGCAGTGCAACAACCTACTCTCAACCTGAAAAGATGATAATTTTGGGTGAAATGTACTCTGAAATGAAAATTTTTTAGATAAAAATCATAGAGCGATCGGATTTCAAAGTAGAAGTACACAGATGTCAGGTTCATCAAATAACGACGTGCTAACCGAAAACTACAACTAGAAAGCAGGGCAAAAATCATAAAGAAATATTTCAAATATTGGAAGTGAAAGAGGTCTGAGTTCCTTGCATATGGGAACTGCGCAATAGAATCAACATGCTTGAATCGATTGCTGCTAGACTTCACGGCCCTAAAAATTACATTATGTTGTATTGAAAATTCCGAGAGTTGTAAGATTTTAATCAAAATCTGCTGTTGCCCAACACTTCAAAGACATATTAACAATCGAAAAATAATATTACCTAGCCGAAGAATGGTCTGAAAGTGCGAAGCCCCACTTAAGTCAGCAAATTCAGTTTCGCTTTACAGCCTTAGTTCGTAACGCGTTGGTGGGAATCGTTGTAGTGTTTACTCGAGGGTTATTTGCGTTGCTTTCCATCGCTTTCCAAGTCGAATATCTTTCCGTTAATTTGCTTTTCTTTTAGAACTCTTAAAAGTCCATCTAAATCGGGATGGAACGGAAAAAAGACATCTTAAAAATCTTCATACAACGAAGCATTTGTTTGCTGACGTCATACGTGCGCACGATAGGATTACGACGCACCGTTGCGCAATTGAATTGATTAGCTGTGTCGTAATATTCCTTGTTATGAGACCTTGATTAATCTATATAAGTAAAATTTCAGGATTTTTTTCTCAGCGAACTAAGTTTACGTGCAGGTGATATTTGTGTTTGCTATCGGCACTCGGTGAATGTGAAATGTGATTCAAAATCGTCTTTGGTTCACATGCATTCAATATCACTTCGCCATCTAGTGCCGAGGCATGAACACAACAACCGGGCATGAAATTCGTGTATCTACGATACCCATGTGCAGGCGCTGGTTTTTAAGAAACCGCCACAAACTAGATATCAAAAAGAAGTTATTAAATGCAGATTTTGATACGATTAAAGGTATTTTGATCTTTCTTCGTTCAAGGCGAAGGAAGTCGGTAAACAGAAAATGACCAGACGCCACTCCGTCGAGTTAATCGGGTATCAAAGATGATCTATGATTAAACGTAACTGCACTGTGTTAATAACAAACGATCAGTTACTGTTAGCTTTCTTTAACAATTCTGTAAGGTGTAATATTGAAAAACTTGAAAAACATTTGTTAAAGGAAAAAAAAAACAAAAAAGAAAAGAAAAGAAAGAAACGGCGATCCAGTATCTTCCTCGTTTTCCTGTAAATGTATGGGCCAAATTTCCTCGCATATCCTATTTTAAAATTCGTTCGAGGAGCTAGGGGCATTTTGCAAAAATTATATTATTAGTTTTCATCTCTTAAACGTCTTACGCCCGTCCAGAGACATGTGTCAGCATCAGGCTCTGTGAGCCGCTAGCCAAAAATATGTTAGTACCCCTAACACAAAGAAAGACCCCTATAGATTGTGCTAGCGTAATTTTTGGCATAATTTGGAAAGAATAACATAATTTTTGAACTTCTTATAAAAGCAGCACTACTAGCTTGCATGATCAGCAAAATTTAAGTTTACTTGACGGGAACATTACCAGAGAGATAGAGTCATAACTTGTTTGGTCTCTAAGATTGATCATTTTTAAGTTCAGTTTTTTGATCAATTTTGCAATGTGTTGGATGAATAAGTTTATCGCAACAGTGCGTCGTTCGTCGTTGAATGGACTGCAGAAACCGGAAGTACAGATCGGTCACAGTTTCCGCTCTCACAAGTAACTAAATGGGTGTGTGGTAGTGAGCTGTGATGTAACAGAGCAAGTGTTTGATTCATGATCAAAAAGACACATGTTTATCAACATCATATGTATAATTTTGAGATGTTTAGTGTTTCTCTTTTTAAAAATATACTTTAGGAAAAAGGAGAATGATGTCCAAAAACGAGCATATTTTAGAGCATAATTTGGAAAAAAAATCGACTAATGCTGTTTGAGTAATATGCTACTTTTACAAGTGAAATTTCATGCACAGAGGCCAACCTCAGTGAGCTCTCATGAACAAGTTTGCGATCACTTTAGTCAGATAATAGTAAAAGCAACGGTAACGCAAGTTTACTGTTATATTCAGTTCGCCCAAATGATTTGAATCATTTCACTCGCCCAATTACATATGTACACGAGGGAGTCAAGTCATTTAGCTTTGGTTTGGAATTATCAATGGGTGGCGTGACATTTTCTGAGCGGCAGACACAAACGTGTCTCGATAAAAACGCATTGTACACTGATTCAGCAATGGTAACTCCGCCATCTTGTACCTTTGTCGAGGCAGCATTGCTGTGTTTATGGGCGAGTAGTAACGACTGGAAATGCCGAATGGAACAGAACAGCTCCTGAATTTCCAAATTTACAGAAAGATGGAGGATCTCAAGAGCTTGATAATTTCCAAACGAGTTTCCGAAAACTTTCCTTTCCATTCGATTTTCTGTTGGAATTTCAGGAAAATTTTTTTATCTAACGGAACCACTTTGCAACTGATGACTCCAAGAAAAACATACCCTGCTGTATTTCTCGCGACTTCCGCTTGTATTGTAGCCAAAAAAATGTCACTTTTTCAAAGACGCCAGTTGTTGCAATAAGCTAGCATATCAGAAATATATCTTTTCTATGCGATACGTGCAACTGAAGAAAAGAGAACTGTCTCTTTTATGTCTCTGACCTAAAAGAGACAGTGCGAAGTGACTAATCCTATAAATGATTAAAGACATTATAATTATTATTAAAAATAGTTTTAATTTCATCGAGAATGTTCGAAGTGACTAATCCAAATATTTGCTACGAAGCCACATGTTGGGAGCGCTTCCAACGACTCACTTCTTAGTAAGGGGCCCATTCATGTCTAAGTTTAGTGGGTCCATCTGGTATCTGGAAGGCCAGGCCAAAGTCGAAGCTTTTTTCCTTCAATTTCTTTAACTGCAGTTCACCTGCAACGATCATTTTTTCATGCATGTCAGCATATGATGTAAATCTATTAAATTAAGATACTGGCGATTGTTAGGAATTTCCAATTGAACAGGAAACGGCGAATTAAGGGGAAATTAAGATAATTTCGCAAAACTTGATTACTGAACGGTAGCTCAAACGACTTCACGTGCACGTTCTCACGAAGTCCACACAAGACTGACCATGGGCGAGCCAAAAACGAGGAGGGTCTTTACGACCCCTTGTCGAACATTCTCGATAGAATTAGAACTATTTTTAATAATAATTATAATGTCTTTAATCGTTTATAGGATAAAAATATATTTCCTATGTTACAAGTTAAAATCTAAAGGGTATCGTAAAAGGTATAAGAGGAGCAAAGGTTAAATTTTAAGCCACGTCACGCGGCATCATCTCAGAAGTTCTCTTTCCGAGAATATTAGCAACTGTATAATCGGTAACAAATGAGTTTTATTGGTTGATTGAACTTTCGGATCAGACTAAACTTCCCTTAGTTCCAGTAAATACTCGAGTGGAGATCTACGAAGTTGCTGTGTTTTTATTTTGTTATTATTAATACTATTTTTATTATGAATATAATCATCATTATAAAATAGTTTTTATTTCTCTTGTAGTTTTTGTTTCTTTTTTTTTTTGTTTGTTTGTTTGTTTGTTTTCATTTTGCAGCCTATTAATTGTTTCATTACTTAACTTGGCGTCGTGACATAGAATAGCTGGAATGACTTCCTACCGCATAATGACCTCTTCATAAGTTCAGCCCTGCTTAGAACTATTTTTAATAATAATTATGCCTTTAATCGTTTATAGGATAAAAAATGCATTTTCTATGTTATGTTTATAGGATAAAAATACCATAGTATAGCTGGAATGACTTCATACCGCATAATGACCTCTTTACTTAAGTTCTGCTCTGCTGTTTCTGGCACTTTCTGCGATTTTTCAAATCACACCATCAACTCGTGTAGCCCCGAGAGATTGCCAAAAAAACACTTCAGTCTGGTTGAAAGAAGTAATGAAGGAACTGACGCAAGTTCGATTTAAAGCTAATATTCTCACAGGGAAAGGGACAGTATGAGACTCTCTTTGCTTACTTGTCTTCATCATTCCATCTTCTCGTTATCATTAAATTTCGTCGCACGAAAAACCTATATTACAGGAGTGTTATTTTTCAGAATGGCGATGTCAATTTATATTCTAAGGGATCAATTTTGCGATTCAAGATGACGGAATTTTCTCTTCTGAGCTCTTATCTGTGCAATTCTTTTTTAAAGCAGCAGCGTGACATAAATATAAACGACTGTCAAATACGGTAAAGACAAACTGTTTCAATGTTGTTGTCTAAAGCGAAACACTCACGACAGCGATACCATGACCGTGGGAATCCGGACAGCAATTATGACAATTTGGTAAAAAGTAACCTTTTTATTTAAATTGACTTTGAAGATATTAAATCCATGACGAATGCGTCTTTATTTTATAGATACTGATGAAATATCGGGATTTTTTCTTTTACTAAAAACTCATATCTTCATCGCACCCAGTGAAGATACTATTTTTATCTTTCACGTCTAAGGATATTGGTGTCGCCATGGTTACTAACATGATGAGCCAATCACAAGAGAGCTTCCCGCGGCCGGTTCTTTTGAAATTTCATTCACAAAATGGCTTCGAGGTGCGAAGACGGTACATTTACCGGTGACTTTCTCGATGAGCTGCCAAATTTTCACATCGATACTTTTTGCGAGCTTAAAGAACATTCAGGAAGATTTGCTGAAGTCTAGGAAAGTGATGTTGAAAAAATTCATTGAAAATTAATTTTAAAAATTTGTCTCTTATGTAGGAATTTCATAAGTATCTATAAAATAAACAGATAATTACATGGCCAATGTTGGAATTTTTACTACAAAGAAACCAAAAAAATAGTTTCTTTCTGACAATATACTAATTCATAACCTAAATTAAACTTTGACGCACGATTTCGTCGCCTTAGCTGTTCAGAGGTGGATATTATCAGAGCACGCTAAAAAATCACTATCTATTGATGTGCTGTGTACTTATCCCTGGGAAAGTTTTTAAAAGTCTACTGGTCTAATTTTCATTTCAGTTGATGAAGGAGCGCTGCCTTCAGCGCTGGTTCGAACTAACTCTGCCCAGTGAATATCTGCAGAGGTTTTACTTCCACAACGCGGATAAATACCATTGAGATTTGAAAAAACAGCACATTTAATACCGTCGCCATACCACCAGCCTCTGCCACTTCTTTGAGCACAATCAACAGGTTCTCTATCCCAGGTACCAAAAACGAGATTCCTGTGGGGACCGAGAGAATCAGAGGAAACAGTGGCATCTGTTTCAAAACAGAACAAAAGAAATTCGCATAATTCTAGGATCCGTATAACGCCTTTTTCAGCGGATAACTTGTTGTTAACCGCAAAAAAGGAAAATATTAAGGTTAGTAAGAACTGAGTTCCTTACGTGGCACAGATACCTAACTCCAGACCGAGTAAGAACCAATCAGGTTTACCTCAGGACTACTTTGCCAGCCTATAATACCATTACTCGACCAAGTAGAGTAAAGTATTGAGATTTAAATGAGAGGGAATTAATATATATAAATCGAACGATGAATGCTGAAAAAAAGGAAACCGTTAACTTACTTGTAATATTGCCAATGTATAGCCGGTACTTAGCTGTCTCGTTCCCAATCCCAAACCAGTCATACTCAGGGTGAACAGTTTTGCCAGTAGTTACCCCCAGATCTACCCGAAGCTTGTTCTTTGTCTTGTTTCGAGTCAGGCGGTTTATCTTGTCCAGTCCCAGCCAAAACTCACCGACCAAGTTACCGAAGCCATGTTTGTATTCGTTCCAGGTGCGGTTAAAATCAACGGAGCCATCCATTCTCTTCTGGATCACCGTCCATCCCCCGTTGGCTTTAGTTTGGTCACAATATACATTAAAAGCGCCTGAACCATCTGGGTCGATAGTGTAAACACCACTGATCCTTCGTCCGGATTTGTACAGCTCAGCACAGTTCCTAGCTGTTGTAGATAAATTAAAGATGCTTGACGTTTTGGGCATGCTCTCAAAGAGAGGGTTTGGTATGAATGTGCTTATATCATCCGAAGAAGTATCTGTCTTGGAGAGAAGACTACGGACTTGGATTCTCCATATATCTTTTATCTTTTAAAAGCGCATCAAATCATGAGATAAGAATAAAAAAATTATTTTTAAAAAACTCGACAAATGACCAAAGATTCGAAAAAAGTTTAGAATATTTAAATTATTCTGTTGTCAATGTTCAGCTACACAGCCGCTTGAACAGAGAGTTGCTAAAGATAAGAGCTCCAAGCATGTTTGAAATTTTGTCATCTAGATTCGCTAAAATGATTTCTCTGAAAATAAATGGAAATCGCCCTGCATAAGACTACCTTTTTCGTGTTACACTGTATAATGATAAAGATAAAATGGAATAACCAGTACAATTAAAAAAAAGTACACGTACATCGCACCAATGTTCTGTTCTCTGTGAAAATTTTAACCTCAAATTGAAGTTGGGTCAGTTCCTTCATGATTTCTTCAAGGCAGAAAGCAGTATTCTTCTGGCAATCAATTTGGGCTGCACTTGTTGATGGTATAAACTGAGAATTCAGAAAAAGTGCCAAAAGCAGCAGAGCTGAACCTGAAGAGAAGAAGTCATTGAGCAGTGTGAAGCCATTCCAGCTTTGATAATTTATGATCAGTGCCACGCACGTTACAGAATGAATTTAACAACCGACAGAACTTAACAATCAACGAGTGCTTTTGATTCGGAAATTGCACAAAGTAAAAAGACCAAAAGTTGTGCTTTTATAACACTATAACTTGTTTTTCTTGGTAACACTCAAGATGTTCCTTTAAAGAACCATATTTTTTGGAGGCCTTTTGCTCCATCAGTTTTCTATTTCGTCTTTTGATGAAGTAAACAAAAGCAATTTTTTTCAGCCACAAGCTTCTCTATGACGTTTTCAAGATTAGAATCCGTGAGCAAGTTACGAGTCATTTTTTAAAATAGACTGGAAGTTCCCGATAAGAGCACTTAAAAATATCGCACTACAATCACACCACGCACCTCAGCTATGCTCTGATCAAGTGCAAAACCTAAACATTGATCATACTTCATAAATGTATTCCGATCGCGATGCAAGGTCATGTGTTTACTATCAGTCAATGACTATCGTGTGTAGAGCAAGGGAAACTGCGAGAGTATAATAATTAACAATTATTCATCTAACACAAAGTGCCTATTTACCATCTCAAATTCATCAAGCATAAATGGAATAACAATTTTATCAAATTCTCCGCTTCTCGGTATTATTTTGTTAGCTCATTAAATTTGTTGTACTCAAATTTTTTCAAATGCAAACGACCAGAAGTTAATTCTGCTTCCGATCTCCAAATATTCACAAAATGCAGTTATTTCGCATCAAAGAAACGTTCAAAGCCACAAGGAATAATACTTCCACAAGAAACACTGCACTGTCTTTGTGTTCCAGCGAAAACGTCCTCACATTATAACTGATCGCGTGTTTTGTTTTGTAGAACCGAGCAAAGGAAGTGATCGAAGACAGCCTTCGTTTATAAGAACCTGAAGTCAACTTCAAGCTCTGAGTATACGAATTACGAGTTACCAACTTACCGAGACGACTATTTGCTTCAACGTTTAAAACTTCAATCCTTTCCAGAAGCGGTCAGCACATTCACAAATAGTTTCGCTGCGTGGCAGCGAACGGAGGAACGGATCGAACGGATTTCATAAATGAACTTTTAATTGCAAATAAAAGTTCTGGGAGAGCGAAGGAATCTCGTGGAAAGCTTTGCCTGTCATCCCGAAATTTTGAAGGTTACCAGCATTTCTTTCTTCACCTTGGCCATGAAGTCGCCGCATCTTTTTTCTTCAAAACCGAGTCAACTTTCATGGGATGTGAGAGAGAAATGGGATGTTTTTCTTACTGAGCACTCATCGTTTTTTTCAGATTGGGAGATTGCCGTTGCTTCTTGTGCGTTTTCTTTTCTTTAACATAATCTCTGAATCAAGCTTCCAACCGATTTCACGTGGAATGACTTTGATTCAGAGTCATTGCTACGAAGTACTGATACGGATAAATCGTGAAATTGTCACTCTTCTATGTCCGGATTCGGTGACGGTAAATTTCTCTTCTTACATTACTTTGGCGATAAGTTTTCTTTCGGAGCGGTCAATTTTCACTCCGTTGGGCGATTGATTGTAAATTACTTGATTGAACGATCAATGCGGGGAAACTTTAATGACCTGGAACACTTGCTTGGCCTAACTGAAGGGCAGAAATCCTTCGCCAATTTCCTTAAACTGGGGATCTGCAACTACTACATTTTGTACATTGATAAAAAAACGGAATTTCCCCTGTTTTCCTCCGCTCAGGGAGAATACCATTCATGCACTTCACATACATAAAAATATCAAGATATATGACCGCATTTATTAACGAGGCAGTTTTACCTTTCTGTTTTATCTTTTGAGCCAGATCAACATTCAAGTTTGTTGAGGAAAACCGTCGCTAAGACTTTGAGCCAGATAAAAAAAAACTGATTATAGTTTTCCATCTTGTCATTGACTAGACATTGAATAGTCATTCCAAAGGTAGAAGCAAATTTAAAACTGAAATTGCTGATTTCAAGAGGATCTTTTCGATAAAACGAATGAACTATCCGACTAGAAAAGAGAATTGTGATGAGCTCGGAAAAAGAAAATTACAGGGCCGTATAGGCCACCACGAGCGCGAAAGTTCGACTGTTCGACTGTATCAGACAAACTGACCATTCTTTATTCAAAGCCACCATCGAAAGACATTCCAAAACGTTTGGAGTTCGACCTCTGTTTCTTACGTTTGATAATACAGAGTGGACTTTTCGAAAGTTCTTCCTGTTTGCAAGATTTAGAGTCGAATACAAACTCCATGGGTTAGAAATTAGATTTAAATGACATAGATGTGCAAACAATCTCATATTTTGAAAAGTAAGCATTGCATCTAATCACTGCTTCAGTTTTCAACGAAAGTCTCGTTAAGATGCGAATTCTTTATCAGAGAGCCAGATTTCACATACCCGTTCCTTGTTTAATACCTCTCATTGTAATTCTTTTGGTGTTGCATGCAGTATCACTCAGAAACGCTGCCAAAAATGGATGATGGCAAGGTTTTGTCAAAACTGATTGGACTCAACTCTCTACTGAGTTATAAGAAGATTCATAGAGTTGCGTGCGCACATGTTCTATGCATCAAGGCCTCTCCAAGTCGTGAGGGTCAAATACCTCAGCTATCGTCAGAGACAACACTAATTATATTCATTTTTTTGGGAATGATCGTCAAGAGTGACCCGTTAAACTGATTACCGTTTTGGCGAATCCTTGGTAGTTCATGTTTAGAAATTTTCCAAACGCAGTTCAAATTGCACAAAAATATACCTCAGGATTTTAATGTAAAGTTTCCGGTCTTAAACGTAAGCGATGGAAACTTGTGCTTTTTTCGGAAGGATGTTATACTTAACTGGATAACAATCATTTTTTAAGGCCGACCTTTGTTTGAGTACGTGCGAGTTCGTGAGAATTTGTGAATGAGATAGCTCAACACACACTTGCATCTGTATCCCCAGTAGCTTTCGTGATAACGTATTTCAGAGATACAGTATCTATCATGTATTCACATGGTATCCGTTCTTAAATGGTGACATTTTAGCTACTTGGTTTTCAGAGCTGGGAAACAAAACAAAATTATGATTTTTCTTGTTGTTTAAAATGTCGAGCTTCGTAGTAGTTGCAGAGTACATCATTGGCCCCCAAGTGCAAGTTCATGAGAATTGTGTATGGTGAAGAGTAATAAGTTATTAATGGCATTCAAGATTAGTTGATCTTCAGAGCTATGACGCAGAGCAGAATAACAATTTTTCCTGTTGGTTGGAATGTTGACCTTGGTAATTGCACGGTACATCACTGACCCTCCGAAAAAGATTTCTCTTCATCAGATGCATAAACACAATGAAAGTGCAGAGCAAATCAGGTTGCATTGAAAAATTCTCTCTGATACACTGATTTCAATAAACAAGAGCGATAAAATTGAGTTGTCCATTTACATTTGACACTTCAAAGGTGCTTGATGGCACCGTTATCGTCCTAATTCCGTTCCTTGATCAGGCACTCCTGATAGCACACCACACGTACAGATTATTTCAACCAAAATAGTTGCCTTCTTCTAACCTTCTTCAATCAATTTTATCATCCATCAATCAAATCATTGTCTACCTCCTACAGTTATGGTGGCTACAAATGTTAAAATCATTACAACTGTAAACGACATTTCTTGACCTTTCTATCTCAGTCCATGATGAATGTCAGAATTAGTTTTGTGAAGTTTACTACGAGTGTTTATTACAACCTCTCGTTATTATAATCGCTTGATTTTCTCTCGTTCTGATTGAAACCGTTATCATTCTCTGTGTTATAGTATTGATCTTATAAAGTATTGCGTATACTACAGCTACTTCTAGTGTGATATTTGAGGAACAGCATGTCGCTAATAATATGTAGTGTTCTCTGGTCCAGAGATGAGAACGGAAATAGAATAATTAGAATAACATGCGTATTTTTATTGAAAGCTTGCAGTTGGCAGAAATATCGTACGAGAAATAATATCTAAATTCCAGTCACATTGCAGTAATCATTATACACTACGTCGTGGCCACATACCCAGAGCCAAGTACGGTCTTGAATGGATTAATTGGCCGGCAGCCGGAAATGTTTGGCCAAATTTTCATAGTTGTTCTTTTGAACTTATTGAAAGTATCAAAGTTTAGTGATTTCGAGGGATTCCAGAAGCAACATTTATTTCTTGAGTTTACGAAATGTGTGACCTTGGATATCCTATGTCGTTTGAGATACATAGCACGCGCATAAAGGCCACAAAAATGTTATTTACTGGGTCCGCCTAAGTTATGTATCAAGAAGTTCAAGTTATTCACGAGTTAGAGAACAAGCGACTCCTCCTGTTTCGTCCACTTGGTATCTGTCACAAAACATGGTTCAAAAATTTCTTACTCCCCTGGAAACTAATTTGTATCGAAAGAAAAATGGTCAAATAGTTTCAGAAAACCTA